CTCAAAACGAGTGCTTCACAAACGACCCTCTAATGCTAGGTAACATTTGTTTAAGTCATGGTAGGCAACGCTATTTGGAAGCCGAACTTTCCAATAGTCACATAAATACACAGGTCCAAGTGTAAAGTCAGAAGCACATAAACTACGAGAGGAGAGAAGGGGAGATAAGGGGATACTCAGTCGCCGTCTTTGCTCGAGGCGATCGAGGTTCACGATTAAGAGAAGAGTTTGAAGCCGCACCCATTGGTTATACAACTCGGTTGCGTTAGCATTACTACGATGTAGTCTAAACATCGTCTAGTCGCCTTACTCCTCATTTCTTGCAAGCGAATTGCTGAATTCCTGCTTAAAATCCAATGTGTCCAAAGTGGTTTGCAAAAATGTCCAAATAGTTTGCGAAATGTCCAATTGAAAGTGAGTTGGTGTAAATATAGCTGGTGCTCATTTCATGGACGTTCCTCGTCGCGATAGCTGTGGGTGAGTTGGGTTACACCCTTCTTCTAGCTAAGGGCTAGAACACACAAAATACCGCGTGAATTGGTTAACTGACTCATGGCGCACGGCGCGTTGCCTTTCAGGTGCACACTTTATCGAAGACTTTGGCTGAGGACCCGAGTCGTCCTCCTGTTCAGTTGTGGACGCCCTGGCAGTACTTTAGTCCAACCCCCAACGACGGATTACGCCAATACGAATAAAGTCAAGCCGCATGGGCCGTTGCACAATGGCCTTAGGAAAAGGGTTGGCTTCTCAGCTGCAGACAGGAGGCGGATAAGCTAAAAGATGTTACTGCTGGTGCCTTCCGTCTTTCTTCTGCACATACACTCCCAACCTCCGTTCAAGTTAAAACAACGCTTACCACAATCAAGGTCGTCACCGCCCAACGCATTGGTCGCGATGGAACTGGCGCGCTACATCGATACTACGGCGCCCAGCGAGACCCGGCTCGCCGAGCAAGGTATGTTGCGTGAAGCAGGTGCCAGCTACACGTTCTACTGCGTGGGCAACGCCGCCTCAGCACCACGTGAACATGGGGTCGGATTTGCAATATCCGATCGCCTAAATGGCCAGCTGGTGAGTGAGCACACTGGCATCAGCGCGCAACTGATGACTGTTCGCCTACGACTCGGAAAAGGTAAGTTTGCCACCTTTATAAGCACGTACCGTCCGACTATGTATTATCCTGATGGCACGCGAGATCAGTTCTACACTCAGTTATCCTCCGTGATACAGTCTGTGCCAAGGAGCAACCGACTATTTCTGCTGAGTGACTAGAATTCGCGCATTGGGCGTGATGCATCGGTCCACATGGCATTGGTTCAGCGAATACGAATGGTGATAGGTTGCTCTCATTGTGCGCCACTCAAGGCCTGTCGATCACGACCACTCGGTTTGCGCTGAGTACGAGTGATGTAGCAACTTGGACGCACCCACGGAGTGGTCACACTCCCCTGCTCGACTATGTCATGGTACGTCAGCGTGATATGCGCGAAGTGCGCATGACACGTGTACTGCTTGGAGCTGAGTGTGGCACTGAGCACAAATTGGCACGGACCAAATTGTATATATAAATACCGAAAAGTACTTGTTGTGAACCGGAGGTGTAAAATTGAATTTTTCTCCCTCAGTACTGTGGAGAAACGTATTGAGCTGGAGAAGGCGATGGCTGCACGCCTGTGTGATGTGGAATGCATAGCCACAGTGGGTGACCTGTGGCACCACATTCGCGACCAGGTGACAGCTGCTGCCGATGACACGCGCGCAAACCGTAAGCGGTCCGATGGACTTGATGAGTACAACGCGACGATTGGTGCATTGGTGTCTAAGAATGCAGTATTTGGTGTACATGTGACAAACCCCAGTGATTTGAGGAAGAAGTTTTGCAAAATTTGACGGCGATTGACCCGAGAGCTCCGTCCCATTAAAAATGCATGGTGGACGGGGAATGTGAAGCAGATGAAATGCTACACCGAACGCTAACAACACAAGGAATTCCATGACTCCTTGAAGACGGTGTATGGACCGAAGTTGGAGCCGCTGAGGATGCTGCTCGATGGTAGCTCAGCCGCTACCTGCACACTGGCTGCAGACATAATGCTGATGTGGCGAAATCACTTTGACTGTTTCTTGAACAAGAGTTCAAAGATTGACTGGCCTAACTGAACTGCTTGAAGTAGCACGAGGTGAATTTGTCTGGCGGACAAACCGACATTGGATGGGATGCAGAGCACGTGCTCAGCTGCGAAATGGAAGCGTGCCAGTGCCGACGGGGACCCGCTTGAAGTATTGAAACATGGCTGACCCACGTTGCTGAATGCGCTGTACCACTTCTTGCGATGAGTGTGAATTGAGAACGAGGAGCTTCCTGAGTTGAAGGATGCGCTTGTGTTTCCAATGTACAAAGGCAAGCAATGTGCTGGGAACTACCGTGACATTAACTTGCTGAGTTGTGTGACCAAAGTGAGTGCCAGAATCCAGCTCAATCGGCTCGTCAGTCAGGCTGTGGAATCGAACGTGGCGGAAGAGCAATGTGGATTCCGTTCAGGTCGCAGCACCAAATATATGGTATTTGTGGTTAGTCAGTTGCAGGAGAGTGACAATAGCCGTCATACTCGCTGTTTGTTGATTTCATCAAAGCATTTGATACCGTGAACCGCAAAACTTTTTGGCTCGTGTTGGGTAAGTATGGCTGTCCGAGTAAGTTTGTAAGTTTAATTGAATGTCTACACAGTGGTATGCGAGCGAGGGTGCAGCTGAGTGGAGAGACCTCTGATGAGTTTACAGTTGTCTCTGGTGTGAAGCAAGGCTGTGTCTTAGCTCTTGCCCAGTTTAATATCTATCTTCATGCAATGTTGTCTTGTGCTTTTGATGCGGCTTGTGCTTACGGTGTTCGTGTGGAGCACCGTATTGATGGTGGGTTGCTGAACATCCGTCGTTTCGGTGCGAGAACTCTAGTCTGTGAGACAACTATCCGTATGTTGCTCTTTGCTGACGACTGTGCGTTGTTTTCACACAGCGCGGATGAGTTGCAGCACATGACTAGTGCTCTGGCTTCGACAGCGGCCAAATTCGGGCTCACCATCAACACAAGCAAAACTGTCTCTCTTTAAGCCTTTACCGGAGGTACAATCTACAATACTGCCGCAAATCAGCATTGGTGCTGAAGTATTGGAATCCAGCTCCCGCTTCTGTTACCTTGGGAGTGTGATCTCGACTGATCAGTAGCTTCACAGTGAGCTTCGTATCCGAGTCTCTAAGGCAGCGGCGGCATTCGGGAAGCTTGAGTACCGAGTGTGGAACAACCACCAGCTTACCGTTGGCACGAAACTGATGGTGCACTAACCCATGGTACTATCCGTTCTATAAGGTAGTGAAACGTGGACGATGTACCGGCGAGACGTGAGATATCTCGGGCGGTTTCAACAACAGTGTCTGCGACGGGTTCCGTGTATCGGTTGGAGTGACAGGGTTACAGACACGGTGTTGCGCCGAAGTGGAATATATGCAGTGGATTGCAAACTTTTGCTGAGACACATGAAGTGGCTCGGTCATGTGTGCCGTATGGATTCGACGCGGATACCGAAACAGTTGTTATATGGTCAGCTGAGTGTGGGGAAGCGGCATGTGGGGAAACCGAAGCTTTGTTACCAGGGCATAATCAAAGTGAGCCTATCACGTGCTAATATCGATTTTAAGTGCAGGGAATAGAAGACGGTTGCTCGGCGTGCATGGCGCGATCTGATCATGAAGGCAGTTGCCGAGGTGCAGAAGAAAGCTCTCCTGTAAGGGGAGAAGCAGCAGGTGCGGAAGCGACAGGCGTCGATGGACGATAGCCCATCGACGTCGAGTGTATGGTGTTGTAACACATGTGGTCGCGAGTGCCTTAGTCAGGTAGGCCTAGCAAGCCACGAGCAAGGCTACTCCGGGCCAGCATAGAAATGACGACGGTTCCTGCTTAGAAGGTAAGCAGAACCGGCGCAGCGTTGGTAGGTACGCTGCATGCGCTTTCATTCGATTCACTAACTGCGTGCTTGGGTGCTGAGTTTCTTTATTTCAGGTGATCGGTTTGTTATATTGTCTTAGTGCTTATTTTGTTACCTCATTATAATGCCAACCTGAGTAATCTTCTAGTTACCTGCACACATCGCTTAAACGAAAGGTGGTTAACGTCGTTAATATTTTTGTGTTTGTTGCATTTTTGAGCCCTTGTTCTGCCATCTTGAATTTATCGTGGATATGTTGATAAACCAGTTAGTTCATATACTAATTTTTTGAAGTTATGTCAGCATATCCGTATGGTGTTTTCAATCCAATTTATTTGGTATACCCATTTCAAGTGATTGGCTGTCGCTTGACATCCCCGGTGTGGCTGCGCGTGATGTGAATGTCGACAAGCTGCCTACCTGTCTGGCGCCCTCCACCTCGATTACTGGCCTCAGAAGACTGTGAATCGTTGCTGGTTGGGAAGGGGTGCACAGTCCTCGTGGACGTGCTAGGCTCAAAGAGTGGTTTTATCCAGTGTGGGGAGGTCTACGGCCCAGAAACGGTCCTGTGAAGTTTTGGTACGCATGATTTCCCTGCTAGATAGACAGGAGTGGTGCGGCTGCGCAGGCTGAAGAATTGTGTGGGTCCGCCCGTAGATGAAATGTGGCTCCCATCCACATTTTTTATGGTCTCCATTCTTGGAGGTTACGCGAAAGATGGGGTTTATGGAAGCAACTATATATATAGTTTATTCTCGAATTTATTGAGGCACACCAAATCAGGCATGATCAAGATTTACAGGTAATGTTTCGCAACAACCACGTTGTTATGTATGTCATCAGCAGTAAACCGAAAGTTGCACATGCTGCGGAAATTGTAAAAGCAATCATGATGAATAAAGTTGTCAATGAATGACGCTACGTTGGGTTCAAGCGTGCGTAATGCAAACAGGGCAATATAAGTGTAGTGAAAACGGAAGATGTAGATGTACGTGTCAAGAAAATATTGAATTATGACTCTCGTCGAGTTGCCAGTATGTACATATACATTATATATATATATATATGCTGTCTAATAAATAAACCATAAATAATATGCCAAGAGAACAAACTCACAAAGTGTGGGGGAATGAAGATGTAAGGATAATTTAGGAGTTTGTAGCCCGAAGTAACCCCACCGGCAAACATACGAGATATGTCAGTCAAAGAGATTGACAGAAGCGGCTAACAAACAGAGAGGTATTATAAACAGTTGACCGATTTGTTACTATGCCAACGAATTGTTCCACGGAAGAGATGAATGCGACCACAGCACCGTTGAATTGCTCTCACAAATGCGACAACCGGTAAATCGCCATCTTGGTCATCATCATACGCAGCAGCGCTGTAATTCACATACAAACCGAGGGGACGACGGTCACACTGATTGGAAATCAGAATAGAAGTGGAGCAGCACTTAAGGATGAACCTGAATTCTCTGAGTAAACGCTCCGGCTTGTGGTGTCCACAATTAAGAAGACGTGTTAATCCAAAATAAGTACTGAGGATAAAATCACTAGTTCATACAAAAGATCTCTTTTTAGATGAAAATGGACAGCAAGCAATGCAAAAGGGAATGGCTTTAACCAGAAAAAAGTGGTACAAGTTACGCGGTTTGTTCGACTGGACTACATGTTCTGCCGGGAGAAAATTGACGGTTTTCAGATCATTCGAAGGAGCATTCGTCACGAACTGATAAGTACAGTAGAGGGGAAATCACCGAGAACTAAAGATCCTGGAGCAGATGAAAGCACAAACGGATCCACATGCAATCAGAAACCAAATTGAGGTGCCTTCGCGAGGATGTTCAGAGAGGACCGAAGACCGGGTCTGCCACAGAGGATAGGGAGAGTAAATTCAGTGATAACAAACAGTAGATCAAAATGTTATAGACATGGTGCGCAGGATTGGATCAAAAGTGTAACCTCCTCTTCAACACCTCGTATGCATATGATAAAGAAAACATCAAACAGGCAAATCACAATGGCTCGAGGGCAAGTACACACATACATACAGTACTGATAGCACACTTCAGAAGCATCGCTTCGAAAACCGTAGCAAAATAACCTAATACCGGGCATGTTTCAAGTTACATTTATCTCAGCAGCAAGAGTATCCTTGAAATGAGAGAGTAGGACGACGCATGAGAAAGCCGTAAGACAGGTGCTACGTAAAACGAGAATAAGCCGAATAAGAGTCCAAGTATGTGCTCTCCGAAGACAAGCACCACACACGATGATCCCACCATTCATACGGTTGCAAGGAGAGCACATTTAGGTAGGTCACATCAAGGAACTATATTTAAAAGGTTAGTTGCGATGACAATAAACTAGTGAAAACAGCTAAAATGATCTGAACTGGCTTGGTACATTCGATCAGCAGTTCAATCGGTCGGGTTGGGTGGCAGAGGCCTATGGCATCGCTGCGCGCTGATCTGATGTGACCAGAGGCGACAGAGCTCGCTGACAGATGCACAAACGCAATTGGGTTAACTAAGGAAATAACCGCAGACTTGGTGGTCACCAGTCCTCCATGTGAAAGAATCCTCCGCAAAGCCAGGGCAAGGTAAGGGATTGGACAAACAGCCTCTGTCTGCACAGCTCCAGTTGCGTTATCCTGATTGTGATCGTTACAGCTGTCCTTAGGAGGCGTTTTTCCGCTCCCTTTGCACCCGGCGAAGAAGACAACGTTCGTCTGAAATTAATGTCCACTTTGAACCTATTGTTCTAAAATGAAACCGTTGATGCTTCCGAAACCGCCTTCCGCTGAGACTTCGGCGGCGTCTAGCTATGTCAACAGACACGTGGTGGTGTCAGCGAGGAGAATAAGCGAATACAGGTTGTAGCTAAAGCTTCCCTACTTTTTCCTTTCCTTGCATATAATCTCCCCGTCCCCATTTAACATAACCACAAACTTCCGCCAATCCAGGTGATAACGCGTGCGATTTCCCGCAGACAGGCAGGCATCAGCAGTACACCGGTACACAGAATCGACGCTTTGCTACCGCGAAACCATCACCAGTCGCGAGTGGTGTAAGGATACTGCGAAGGTCACTTGGCCCCCTACGTAAGCTTGAACCAGCGACTTCAGGATTACAAGGCAGGCTTGTGATCCTTAAGGCTGTGAGCCAGCAATTTCCCGTCACGATAGTCGTATTCCTTCGTGCAAAACACGCAATATCGGGTGTTGGAAGGTGCCCACACAACTCGACCGGAACACGGGTGAGCATCCCGAGTGACGCACTGCACTAGTCGAGACGGAACTCACGCGCCACGGAATAGACTTTGCCGTACTCAATGAGACACGGCTTGTTGACCAAAGCAAGCTGCATGAAGCTGGTGCTGGTTACGGGATCTACTGGGTAGGAAACACTACCATAGCGCCACACGAACATGGCGTCGGATTTGCGACAGTGTCGCTGTTTATCGACGATACCCATCAGTATAAAGGTGAGCACTGCATAGGTTGTCTGTATTGTTGATGCATTCTGCCGAAAAAATCCGCTGTCCCTAAAGGAGCGGGCTATAAAATATTGGTAACATCTCAGGCCGATTTGACTGTAGAGCGATAAGCTCGAACTTATTGCGACAATACTTTACGCATCTGAAGCCGGTTATGAGAAATGGGTCAACGAACAAGATTAAACAGATGCATCGTCAGCGTTTATCCCGTGGAAAGTACATAAACATCTTGCATCAAAATCCAGCAATGGGAAACGACTGCCCAGAAGCCCTAAACTCAGAGCGATTGGTGCAGGGCACGAGTGATACAATGTGACGCTGGTGGTGAACAAAACAGTGGACGATCATGGACATGATCGTGCAAGGGTGGACCCCGGTTAACAAAGTACATCTCATTAAGAACTCACTCGCAGATGGATTAAGTAGCCAGTGTGCCACATTAAACCAATCCGTTGAACCGTGCCTGACACAATCAAAGAAATTCCCCTCATCTATTCATTTGCTAATCAAGTAGTGAAAGTACTAATGAGCAGGACTGTGGAAAACTGACAACAATCGAAACCCCATAAGCTACCGCAATTCACCCAGACACCGTGTGCTTGTAGGAGTAACGAAACGATGGCAAGATGAAGGGACTTTTAGACGAAATCGCAACCAAGGAACCAGTAGATGTAACGCAACACGCGCAGACCTAACTGAAACAACGCCGCAGACACTAAGCAAGTGAGATCACGAATACGGGTGCAGTAAAAGGAGAGAAAACTCATGATCAAATCCATCAGAATCTGAAGGTATGTGAAGGAAGAGCATGCCTATGGAGGATGAAAACCTCACAGGTACTCACCAGGAGCAATGCCAGGATGCGATACAATCAGCACTATCTGCATACAATGATCAAGTAAACATGTCTCCCGAGCGACTGAAAAACCTCATTAACAAAATATTGGAAACATGAAGACCCGGACCGATTCGCAATTACCTTCCACTGGTGAGCATGCCAATGAACTCAGTACTCAAAATACCATAAGATGGATCTGGATACAGTGCAATCGTCCGTTGAGTTCGCAACCATAAGTGGCATGCATTTCGACTGTCATGTTGCTCCTCATATTCCCAGCAACATGATTGAAACGATAAAGAATGGAATGCGCCCAGCGACTGCCTCTGAACATGCGCATTTCCCAGCTATTCGCATAGCTCGCAGAGGGAGTACTTCAACTGCACTCACACACAATCGCTGAACAACTGCTGACGACTATCGCGGTATACTCAAGACACTGGCTAAACACCACAACTATTCTGGTCACCACCGGAAGACCACGCCAACGTGGCGACACGTTTCACTTATCTGGTCGATTGTATCAACTCTGTTAAACATATCCCAGATGAGAAGGGAATCGGAAGCACATCCAAAGCATCACAGCGTCTCACTCACAGTGTCTATAGGGACGATTTCACACCAGCATGGGAGCACAATGCAAACAACGCCGTGGGACGAACACTGTCCAAGTCGGGATATGATGCACATGCGACACTGCACATACCGCCCGGGGAAGCTGAGTAAGCCCACCAACTGGTACCTGGCAGCGAACAAATTGATGCAACAGTGGATATCCTGCTAAACTTGAAAGTATCGAATGCCCAACTTGCCTATATCCTAATCATTTCGGTAAAGCTATGAGCTGAATGATTAACGACATGGTAAACGATGCGAACCAATCAAATGTATGGAGTTGGGACATACGGACAGTACGGATGAAAGCCCCATTCTCGCTGATTCACCGCAGCAGGGAGTAAAAACACAGCGGAACAGATTGCAGTCAGGCACTATGGCAACCTGCGCCCAATTACTCCACCAAGCGAATGCAACAACGAGCCATTGTATGCCATGCATCGGCTGAACGTTGCTCACTTATCTTTCCTTAGGAACACCACTTCCCCATCATTGTCACATGGTTACCGTTACGCTGTGGCACCGAGGGTCAATGCGGTGGGAACCAGCATGGTTGGGCATGCGGAGCATAGGTCACAAACAAGGTGAATTAAAATGCTAAGCAGGAAAGCATCCCCGATGGAACCAAACCTTCTGTCCTCCTTGGCAATCGCAATGCTCGCTGAGACCCTACGGACCCTAATGGCTCGCATGGGCGGTGCTCCAATTCCGTACCGTTTCACTCATCCAAGGAACTGAGTGCCTTATTCCCACACAGGCTACAATCATCCGCATCTATGCACAAACGAATCAGGTGTCTAACTGGATGACGTGTCTCACCCAGGACAGCGATACATGGAGACGCCTAGCTCGCATCGATAGCAGGATGCACCACGCGCATGAATCATGTCCACGGATCGCGATGGTGACAGGAACATCGGTAGCACGGTTTCAATTCCGACGGTGTGACGGGCACGCAGCTCGCGTGGTCAAACTGGATGGCGTCCGGATTCAATGAAACAGGGTGTGAGAATGTATGTTCAGAAGCGAAAAATTAACTGAAGGTGTCCGACAAGATGATGGAATTCGCGAGCACAACGGATAAGATGGAGCAGATACCTGATGCAGTTGATCACTGACGATTCGCAGTTCACCGATCGCAGAGTTCAAACCCTTCAGAAAATAGAAGACAAAAATCAAAAACAGCGTGTTTGAAAAACAGTCGAGCTATGAGCGGGTAATCACCAGTGATTCATATCAAAATTACTTGTTCCAACTAAAGAGAAACCGCGTGACTGTATACATAAACAGGACATAGATGGGAAGCAAAGCAAGTCAAGCCAGAAAAGCTTTATGCATTGAGTCTGTTGCTGAATCAATGCGATAAAACGCCGCTCCAACATTGTACTCATTCACCTGACATGGCGAAGTTTTCTTGGCAAAAGAGAAAGGTTGCCTAACGAACATCTAAAGCGATTGTTTCCAAACCCTTCTGAAATCATTAGTTTTCGATCGGTTCCAAACATTATTAGATTTCGGATTAAAATACGGACATCGTGTTCGCAAGCTGTCAAGTGAATTCGTTTTACTAGCGAGTGTTGAAACGAACTGGAATAACCATAGCGTCTTTAAGTTGAGATGAAAGTAACCTGATCCCAAAATGTCTCACAGTGATACTTCAGGACAGTACGTACACTTCTGCAGGGATTGAGTTTGGTGCTTCCAATACCTTTTTGAGAGAGTATTTACTTAGCGGCAAAACATTTAAGCAAGATCCATCTCGAAAAAAATCGACTGAGGTTAGATAACCAAACCGCCTTAATACCTCTCGACTACAACCGACTTCTCAACGATGCATCAGAAGTTAAATGGAAACAACGGCAGGATACAAAGGATGAAAGCTTCGTAATCTCGAGAATTTTAACTCCGTGCGTCATAAGGCCAACGGTCCCGTTAGCAAGCCCGCATCTATTGGTAACTAATGTGATGTAGATAACATATCAGACAGAGTTTTGAGTGAAACGTAGACTGTTGGAAAAAGGTTTAACCGTTATTGTTAATAAATATATGAGGAAGAAAGGATTCCAAGCGTTGAGAGCGTGGTAACAAAGTTGCCTGCTATAAAAGCAAGGAAGGTTGGTGCACCGTTTGTAACGAGCAATAAATTTTAGCAACTGAGTGAACCATACCTTGTATCAACTGAACGTATCGCATTGGAGTCCTTGAAAGAAGATCGCAGCATTGTAATCACAGTGACGGAAGGGGGAAAACGACGATTTCATGGAGTAAGTAATTATTTGGAAAAGCATCAGTAGTACGCTGGCACACCGTACCAACGCTCCGCTGTCACGAGACAACCAACAATTGTGCGAGAACTGGCCATACCACAAGGTCGGCCGCATATACGCGGATTCGAACCGGCGACCTCAAGAATAGAATGCAGGCGTGCAATCATTTCGGTCATCGGCTGACCAGATTAGTTGAAAAACAGCAACATTGGGAGACTGATCCATATAAAGTACTTGATCATAACACCTTGATGATAGCAATGAATGAGAATAAGGCGCGGATTTGTCCCCATTTAAGAATCAGTAAGGCCGATTTGGAAGCAGGCAAGTGGCACAGTCTGTACTGGAAATCGAATCCACCTGCGAGGGTTTTCGTCCTACCAAAGATTCATAGACCCCACATTGCCAAGTCGATGGTTCAGGGTTCCAGACCAACGAACTCGCTAGACCTTTAGGGGGCTATTGCAATCTTTGACGGGACCAACGAGTAAGTTCCTGAAGGATTCCCAAGAGTTCACTCAAAAGACAGCAAATATCACCAACGATGCAGACGCACTAATAGCAGGCTTCGATGTGCTGTCACTTTTCACCAATATACCCAAAGGAGGGAGGCTAGGAATAGCAAGAAGTTGCCTAAATGAGGACAACAGTCTGGATGACAACGAAACTTACACTTGACCAAATGGTCAAGGGTATGGCAGCATGTCCTAACACGTCGCACCTCGTTCTTTGGTCGAAACTGTACGATCAGGAACAGGACCTCATTATGGAATCATCAATATCCCCGTAATGGCCAACTTACAAGTAAAAAACCTCGAGAGCACGGCGTTAATAAGCACCAGTAACTCACCGAAATATAGGTGGCGCTACGTATAAGACACATTTATAATTGTTAAACAGAAGATAGATTCACATATTGATTTGGGGTCTTGTAGCTGCACAATACCATTTGTTGCCTCTGTGATTCACAGAACAGGGTAAAATTAAAAAAGGCATTTGCCACAAACCAACAGATACTGATAGCGCACTTCGGTATACTCTGGGTGATCTAAAACACGTTAATGCTGGGATAGCCACAGCGCTGTTCCACAGGGCACGAACACTGCACAATGGAGGAGGCCGCGTAGAAAAAGCCGAATGGTAAAATATTAAGTAGTGGATAGTCAAGTCAGGATAAGAATGTGCTTTATGTATCCCTGAAGGGTGAATATTCATCTCTAACACACACGCAACGTACAGGGATAAATAAGGAAGACGAATATTACAAGAGGATAGATAGAAAACAATAATTGTTAAAAATACTTGGCAGAGCACATATCACTGAAGTAATTTATTAAGCAGTTCTTGAATGACCGAACTTTATGGTTTAAAAAAACGTGAAATGCAAGGAACTACTGATGTACCATAGGCTCTTGTGCGAGCGTAGATAAGTTTGTAGCTCTGCCTGTTTGAGGAAGTTGATGCGTATTTGGACAAAGGCTTGTGCAGAGGTGGCTAACCTCAGTGAGTATTTTAGATGTAAGCTTGTTACATTTGACACGGCTGGCTACAATGAGCATAACAAGTTTCAGCCTTGAAATGCCATTACACTGGGACAGATTTTTCACTGATCTGGCAATCACGTAGAGATCCTTACACAGACGACCTAGATGAGATCATGGGAGAGCAATGGGTCCAGTAGGGTAACACACATGCAGGGATAAAATGCTAGAACAAAAGCAGGACACAGAAGAAGACCTGAGACGTGTAACATAGAATGAGATACTTTTGACCTTAGTGAATGTTTTGTTCATGTGAAGGGAACAGGTAAACCCACTGCTCAGTGTCTCTCTCAGGTATTTTACGGAAGTGGAAGAGGTCAAACATTCACCGTCAATGCAAAGTTGTGGACAATGCGTTAGGAGTTGCAGGTGGCGATTTCTTTAGAACAGCGAAAAAAGGACATCCTTGCATTTTGAAGTGTTTAATGGTAGGCAACGGGATTTGGACCATGTTGTGAGGTTGTCCAAGAGGCTTTGTAGTTTGGCGGATGACTCTATGCCTGGATGATGTACGCTAAGGATTACGTCGTCCGCATACTTCAGTAAGATGGCTTCTTAAGGGACAGGGACGTAAATGGAACATAGGAATGGGGACACAATGCCCTCCCCCTGTAGAACCCCAGAGTTCGTGGTGAGTGAAGAAGAGATTCTTCCTATCAACATGGTATACTGGGTACGCTTGGTGAAGTAATCTTTCAACAGAACAACAGAAAGCTGAACTCCAGAACCTAATAGATTGTGCAACAGTAGTTGACACTTCACACATCCGAAAGCGCTGCAAAAATCCAGGAAGCAGAGGTGGATGGACTTGTTTTTACTATCCAATGAGGAGAGCGCAGTACGTACCAGACATGCTACTGCAGCTAATGTGAAGCTTGAACTGCAATGTACAAACTGATGAGGGTCGTTCAAATGCATATGGACCAAAATCCGTTTAAAGATAAGCTTCTCAAAGGTCTACAGAGCAAACGACGTGCAGGGGATCGACTGATATTTGCAGGTTTCTTTCCTTGGTAATTGGCTTGCGGTTCCTTAACTGTCAGCCATCTTGTGCTGATTGAAGCACAGTGTGTACAAATCGGCGAGGCTGTGCCATGTAATCTGCACGTTCCTTGAGAACAACAGGAAACAACTTACCCGAACCAGTTCAGTTGCAACTAGATTAATTCTCTGTGTACCTCTAGGCAGTTCACAGAAGGAGTTATCTGGGACTAGCTATAACTCAGCAAGGATATAGCAAAGGATGAAGTAATATTTTGATCACAAAAAGTATGGTTGTTTTTCCACATCTGAAGTTGAATGCGTGACTTCGAGGGTGACTACGCTTAACTGTTTCAGCATTTTCCATGGTTGATATGGTTGAGGCGACGCAATTCGATTTTTCTAGTAAGAGATAGAGACTTTACTGATGTAACTACTTTCCGTCTAAAACCTTTAAGCCTACGCAGTCGTTTGAGACGAGAACCCATTGGCACAGATAAAAGATGAGCCGGGTTATATCAAGGTCAACTGTCAATCACGCAGGTCTGCGGCACTAGCTGCTGGCATCCTGAAGTTATGGTGACGGAACCCGGCAGGGATCCTCTGGAAGGCGCGCCACTGACGAAACCCAAAAGGTCGAAACGCCGGCGTCTGGTGCTTTCCCAGACTAGCCTAAGCCTGCAGATTGGGAGTAAGTATGATGAATAAGCGGCACAAATAAAAATTGTTTCAATTGGACAGTGGGTGTCGAAGTAGAAGTTTAAGTAATTAGTTAAATGATCACAATGTTTCCATACTTCTGCATAGTGAAATAAACTAAAATCGGTGGGGGTAATGGTTTCACGATATTGCTGAATGTTTTGAGGAAGGTATCGTCTCCGCCTGAACTTTCGATTCTTGCAAGGGTGAGAGCATTATGGATCGTCTTGCTATGGATAAAAGGAAATAACTTGACGATGGCATGATCAGAGCTTCCAAGCGGTGCCCGATTACAAACAGAAAAGGCTTCCAGGTTGTTAAGAAATATCATGCCAAGTATTGCATCTAACCAGGTTGAAAATTGCATCATGTTCTTTAGCCTAAGACTCGCAATGAAGCTGGTATCAGATCTGTTGAAATCGCCGGCAACTATACACAAGGGGACTTATAGGTATTCGAGGACCGCGAGTTGGCTGCCTTATTGATCGACAATGGTTCCTGTTGGGTTCAGCCGCTCAAATTAGCTTGTAGCGAGTGGATGTCAGCGACTGAGTGTCGGCGATGGGTAGTTGCGATCGAAAACCACAAATTGAGTCGCAGCTTACTTAGAAAGGATCACGTAGGACTAATTCTAGGACCACCAGATAGCGCAGAGAATACTTTA